AAAAAATATATATATATACAGTGGACCCCCGTGTTAACGAGTTTTAATCGTGCAAGAGGGGTAATTGTTATGTGAAAATAATTCGTTTATGTGAATGAATTTTTCCCCATAAGATATAATGGAAATATAAAAATTAATATATTATATAATATATTTATATTTTTTTATTATAATATATATATATATATATATAAATATATATATATATATATATATAGTTATATATATATATATATATATATATATACATTATATATATATATATAATATATATATTATATATATATATATAATATATATATATATATATTTATATATAATATATATATTATATATATTGATTACAGAGGGTACCTCTAAAACCCCTAGCATGGCTGGGCATTTCGGGCAGACTTAGTTTAATTTTAATTTAAAATAATACAATTATGGGTAAGTTGGTTTTATGGAAAGTGCTAAATACTGTTGTGATTTTGCAATGTGAATGCTTTTTTTTTGGCACAGTACAAGTTTCAGTATTGGAGTTTCAAGGATTCTTTTTTTTAAAAGATTGGTTTAAATTTTTTCTTTTATGGGCAAATGGGTGGGAGTGTAAGTGTAAACCACAAGGTGGTTTTCATGTAGTTAGTTAGCTTATTTTACTGAAATTTCAATTAAATGAAACATGACTAAAGGCTGAGGGATGTTACCCCAAACTCCCCTCTCCTTACACCTTTCTGCTTTGTATTGGACTAAATGAAGCCCTGGTGTTGAAACGTTCCCTCAAAAAAATTCCTTGTTGCATAAGTGTTCAATTTTTCAACTTGTCGGTTTTAAAAAACTTTTCATCACAACTGTCAGACTTTTATCATCATGGGTCTTGTACAAATAATTCTTCAAAATTTGCCCAAACCCTTTGGAAGAAGCCCTACTTCGATTTGAATGGTCCACTATGACCCCGCCCCCTCCTGCTTTGCTCACTGACTACTGAGGCAAAGTAAAAAATAAATTTTTTATGAAGAGACAAAAAAATTTGTTTAACACAAGCCTATCGATGTTATCCTGACGCCAAATGACTTTCGAAACGGCGATAAAGACTGCCCATGCACTCCCCCCGGGGCCAGACTCAGGGAAAACTCGTTTTTCATCAAGAACTGCAAAACCCCTATCACGGTTTTTTTTCCATCCTAGGGAGAGGGGCGGGACTGGGGGTGTCCCTCAGTTACAAAAAAAAACAGACATAGCCCCACTCCCAAAGGGGGCAGAAAAAGCAACAGCAAAGAATACAGCCAATAGCACTAACATCCCATATCAAAAAAATCTTTGAAAGGGCCCTAAGAAGCAAGATCACCCCCCCATTAAAAAACCCATTTACAAAACCCAGGGCAACATGGGTTTAAACAGGTCGCTCCTGCTGTCTAAACTACTGGATCACTCGAAAGGTCCTAAATGCACTAGAAGACAAAAAAAAGCAGATGTAATATATACAGACTTTGAAAAAGCCTTCGACAAGGGGACCAGGCGAATAGGCAAAAAAAGCGCGAAAGGAATAACAAAAAAAGTCGGTCGATGGATCTATAATTTCCTCCTAAAGAACACAGAAGTAGTCGTCAACAGAGAAAAGCCGGGCAGCTACGGGAAAAGCTCTGTTCCACAAGGCACAGTATTTGCTCCCTTTTTTCCTCATCCTCTATCCGAATAGACAAGGATGTCAGCCACAGCACCTGTTTTTTTTTTGAGATGACACCCAAAAACGCATGACAGTGTCTTCATTGCGGGAACTGCAAGGCTCCAGGGGAATAAAACCAAATTTTTCAGTGGGCTGCAGAAAACAAATGAAGTTAAACGATGAAAAATTTAATTTTACTCAGATATGGTAAACAGAGGAAATTAAATCTTCACAGAGTACAAAAAAAATTTTCTGGCCAAAAAATAGAGCGAAAAAACCAACGTCAAAGACCTGGGAGTGTTATGTCGGGGGATCCCCTTCAAGGACCATAACATTGTATCAATCGATTGCAGAAAAAGGGAAGGGTTGGATAATGAGAACCTTCAAAACTAGGGAGGCCAAGCCCATGATGACACTCTTCGGGTCATTTGTTCTACTGGGCGGGAAATATTGCTGCCTCAAACAGCCCTTTAAAGGAGGTGAAATTGCGCCCTAGAAAATGTCAGAGAACTTTCACGGCGGCATAAGGAGATAAAACCCCTCAATTACGGGAGCCTTGGGGTTTTTAAACCTGTATTCCTGGAAGCAGGGGGGAGTCTGATATTACACCTGGAAAATCCTAAGGGGGTAGTACCCAACTTGCACACAAATCATCACTACGAAAGCAAAAGACTTGGCAGACGATGCACCATCCCCAATGAAAACAGGGGTGTCACACACGTTAAGAACCATACAAAAGTGTCAGGGGGCCCCAACTGTTCAACTGCCCCCCAGCACAATAAGGGGGATTACCAACAGACCCCGGGCCGTCTTCAAACTGGCACTGGACAAAGCACCTAAAGTCGTTTTCCCGACAGCCCGGTTTGGGCCCTACTTGGTTGCGTGCAGCCAAAAAAGCAACAGCCTGGGTTTATCAGGCCCCCTGATCCACCAGGGGGCCCCGGTCACAGCCGGGCCGGGGGGCATTGCCCCCGAAAAATTTTCCCGGTAAACTCCAGTATATAAAACCCCGTCTACAGCCCCTTTTTGTACATTCACAAGATTGATGGACTGAAACATTGACTCCAGGTGGGGAGATTACCTCAAAAATCCCCCTTCTTTTTAAAACCTTTTTGTTTGTACTGGACTGATGAACCCCTGTGTGCAAAGTTTCTAATAAGATCCCCTATGTTTTTTTAGGTTCTCAATTTTAAATTAGGCAAAAAACAATAAAAATGTAAAATGATATACATTACCCTCTTTTTACCTTAAAAAACTTGTTCTTAATTAAGGTGAGAAGTGAGCGATTTATTCAGGAATTGGTGTGGTTTGCCTGCCACATACCCCAAATTGACAAATTTTGCTAATTTATTTTACTTGATTATATTATGTATTTTGTTTATGTGATTGTGGGGTGTTTTTATATAATTTCAAAAATATGTCATAGATGGTTAATAAAAATGTTTATAATAATGTAAAAGTATATGACACTTAAAGTTCTCAGAGTATTCTTATTATTTTATTATTTATTGTCATGAAAATCCTTGTTACTAAGTTTAATCATTTTAACTTGGGATTTAAAGTAAGAGGTTTATGACCCTCTTTCTTTCACAACTGCCCTTAGGGCATCATTGTAAATGAAGGTAAGTAAAAAGAGGGGAAAGATAAAGAGAGAATGAGTAAATGAGAGAGAATAGAAAAAGAAGAGGAAAAGAGTAAAAGAAGAGAAGGGGGAAAAGAAGAGAACGAGCAAATGAGAAAGAACAATTAAATGGGGGCACATGAAGCTCACAGAGAATTTAAAAAACTGAGGAAACGGGGGGTGGGGGGTCAGACAATACGTATTACTGCCTATCTACTAGCTGCTGATGTGTGTTCATTTTGCATTTTTCTTGCATTTGGAAATGTTTTCTCCACAAATTTTCTTCATGTTATGCAGTCAAATACATAACAGCAACCTCCCCTTTTTTATGCAACACACCCTTTTTGAGAGTAGTGATGATTTTGGGTGAAGGCATACAAAGAAATTTTTTTTCTACAGTTATAAACAGTTTTCTGGTGGGGTGGTATAGAGAAAACATGTTCAGGAATTATTGTCAAACACCCCATAGCCCCGCCCTAACACACCTCACAAATATTTAATTTTTTTTATTATGACTGTATAACATGTATTTTGTTTTTGAATGAGGGATGTTTCTTATATAATTTGAAAAAAAGTCCCTAGATGGATTAAAGAAAATGTCTTAAAAACTAGTAATATGCAACATTTAAAATGCCTCAGAAATTATTATTATTTATTATTATTAAATTTTTATTATTTTTATTATTTTTTATTTTTTTTTGCTTATTTTCTTCAACACTAGTGAGACCTCTTAGTGATTTTTAAGTCTGCACACTAGACAGTAATTTAAAATTAGGTACAGGGACACATAAGTACAATTATCAAGTATGTTAAAATAGACAATAAAATTTAAAAACTTGAAACTTTGAAAGTTTCCGACATAATTGAGGAGACATGTATTTACAAAGGCGTAAACAAACGAATAGGCATGGGCCTGTAAAAGCAAAATCAGGGCTGTTAAAAGAATTTTTTTAATATAATTTGAAATATCCATTTAGTGAAGTGCCAAAAGCAAGCGCTGTAAAGAAAGCACCCTAAAGCGGGGTTTCTGTTTGCATTTTAGGCCCCAGCATACTGCTCACTCAGTACATGATAAATTTAAAAATGTTATCAGGGTTTTTTTATGCATTTAAAAGTGAACAAAGGCGTTTCACTTTTCAGTATATTACTTTACAGCAGTACCGGAAACTAAAACCCCTTTAAGTGGGCCCATTGTAGTTGCAAGAGGTAGAAATGACTTGCTTTTAACCCATACTGCCCTAGTTTGTGCATTTGTTATGAATTCATGTGATTAGTAACCTTGCTTCTTAAAACTCTTTCAAAGATTTTTATATGGAATGTTAGTGCCCTGTCAATGGTTTTTGCTACTGCTTTGCTGCCACCTTTGCAGAGTGGGGATATATATATATAAATTTTTAAAGAACATGAAAGAAATTTCTTGGAATTCTTGGTGAACATGGTGTTCTATGAGTCTAGACCTATGGCAGAGTCAATGGTCTTGCTGTCAGTGCCTTTTTTGAAGTGAGGGTAACGTTACATCGAAAATTATTGAGATATTTCTCTTGAATCATATAACAGTGAGACACATCTAATTACATTTATTTCGTTAGCAAGCTAAATGGTGAGGTGACAGACTGGTGGAAATAAGAGTGTAAGATGGCAATGATATTGCAGGATAAGGAAGGAGGGTGCAAGCTCAAAAGTATATTAGTAAAATGCTTAAGTACAAACCAGCTGTGGTGGGCAATCACTGACCTCTAACAACAAGTTCAGCTATCCTGGATGTAAGGGCATCATGAGCTGTGAAGGCAGAGGCGGTGACCTGACACTCCCACTCCCCATCATCCACTTCGCTAGCATCCAAGATCCTGATGGAGCAGTCCCCAGCCTCTCGATCACCAGACCACTCATACTTACCCACAAACATTCCCTGAGGCTGTGAAAGACTTCAAATATAACACTTACTCTGGCAATGGAAAATATTTACATTTTTTATAATTAATATATTCTGAGAGTTTTATATATTTATGTATTTTATTTTAAAACACCCACCAAAAATGGAAACAAGAAAGGTATGGAGATGATGCAGCAAAAGTTTAAAATGCAGAGGATATAGTTAAAATATTCTTCACACTATTATTTGAATTATGCTTTTTAAATTCAAGATGTAAATGTGACTCCTAGATACTTACATTAGAGACCTAGGAGCATAAGGTTTTACATATGCGATATGTCCACCTCCAATAAACCTGAAGATGACAGGCAACTTTCAACATGTGAAAAACAGTACTTTTGATATTAACCATAGTTAGCCTAATGGTAGACATTTTTGTAGTTAGGCAGGTTAAGCAGGTACCCATTTCCATAGGTTTATTGCTCTCAAGGAGAATGAGCAATTCTTGCTATGTTTTCTTCACTGTAATTTGACAAGTTACAACTTGTCATCTCTTGTATGTTTATTAGACAACTTTACAAAAGAGTTTTCAGAGTACAAGCTATCAGCCATCCTGAGCATCATTTCCCAGACCAATGCTTTAAACAGCTGAATAAGAGAAGCATGCACTCTCTATATATTATACATTCCATTAAGATAAATAAAAAAAGAATAGACAGAGACTGCAGAAGAATACATCATTAAAAAAAATTAATGTCAGAACTCCCTAAATATTAGTTTCCACATGAGATATACACCAAAATGCATATAAAAGCATAAATGGCCAGTCTGAATTACAATGAATAGGGGTGCATCTTTCAGGGGGTAGGGGTGATATAGCCAGCTCGACTGAAGTAGCTGATGCTAAATTTAATGAGATTTTAAACTGATGGAAGATAGAGTTATGGGCATGCATGGAGAAACAAAAGGGTCGCAGTGCTAGGGATGGAAGAAGCAAGAACTGTCAAAGAATTTTAGGTAAACATATGGAGAAAATGATAGCTCACAAAAAAGATACTAACAAAAGCAAAAAAAATTGTATAAAATGAAACAGGGAAGAAAGGTGAAGCAATAACTTCCTTAGCACCTACTGTACAAATAGCTGGAACACATGGCATTAAAAAAAGGTGAGCTGAGATTTACTGCATGCAGAGAAAACAAAAATTAGCTATTAGAATGATCACACAGTCAGAAAAGAGCAAAGTGATGAGAGAATAAAAATATCAGCAATGAAATTTTGGATATCAGATTCGAGGGACGGAGTGTAGAGGAAGTAAATGTATTCAGATACTCGGGAGTGGACTTGTGAGCTGATGGTTGTATGAGAAATAAAGTGAACCATAGAATTTACAAAGGAAAAAAAGGGGAATAGTACAGTGAGGCATAAGTTGAGAAAAAGAACTTTATTCATGAAGGCAAAAAAGGGAGGGCGGGAATGTATTAGAGTACATACAGGGGTACCAACACTGTTGTATAGGTGTGAAGCATGAGTTTTAAACACTGAAGAATGCTAGAGGCAGTGGAAATGAGATGGCATGTTTGATAGCAATGTGTGGTGTGAATATTATGCAGGGAATTCAGAGTTTGGAGATTAGGATGTGTGGGATTACCAAAAATATATTCAGAGGACTGAGTAGGGATTGTTAAGGTGGTATGTACATTTAGAAAGGAGGGAGTAAAACAGGAAGTCTTGGAGAGTGTATAAATCTATAGTGGAATTCTGGTTCAGAAAACCGACGGGTTCTCTGGGTTCTCTGAACCAGTTCTCTTGATAATGAATTTAAAGTTCTAAGATTTACCTGCTATTTTGCATGCTCATGAGACACAAATAAAAGAACATCTTATAACCATTAGTTTTAGAAAAACTAGGATACAAAAACACTTGTGATAGCTGATGGTACCTTTGCCATGCTAACATTTTGTGATAGAAGGCAGCCAAAGATCAGAGATGAAAGTGAAAAACTGGTGGTTCAATGGTGCTTTTAGTTTGCATCCAAGGGACTTGATGTACATGTAAATTTTTATACCAAAACTACTCATGAAGGAATAGTCCATTCTATTTCAGAAATGCAATTATTGGTATATTTAATACAGTTGTGCAATGAATAAAAAAAAAGCCTATACACGTATAATGTAAGGAATGTTCTTCAAGTCTTTTATTGTACTGAAAGAATAAGAAAATTGCATTGGCTTCCATGCTATTTTTGGGGAAACATAATAAAAAAATTATTTAGCACTGAAGGCTGTAAAAGATGATAACCAAGAAATTGAAATTAATTACCTTGCCATCCTTCTGCCAAGAGCACGTGCCCTGCTTGTTGTACACTTTGCAGGCCAGCACCACATTGCCACCAGGGTTCACCTCTGTCCTGCTCGGCTCCTGGTTCCATGTCTGGGTCCCATCGCACTCTGGAAAGCAAAGATTGGGTGGTTATTCAAAGATATTTGTCCAGGGAGAAGAGAGAAAGAAGGAAGAAATACATATAGAAGATGAATATTTGGTGAGAAGTAGAGAATACTTTAAGTCTCTAGAGGTGCTACAAGTAATAACATTTCTTAGTCAGAACTGAAAGTAGTTATGCACTTGGTGGAGGTAAATGTGTGAATATATATGGTGTGGCAGGCTCAAGCAAACATGATAATCAGATGTGCTTCTGTTTCTGAAAGATCTGAGAGAGGCACAGTAGACCCTCAACCAATGATATTAATCCATTAAAGAGAGCTTGTTGTTAGTTGAATTGATCGTTAGTCAAATTAATTTTCCCCATAAGAAAAAATGAAAATGCAATTAATCCATTTCAGACACCCAAAGGATGAAAAAAATTTTCACATGAAATATACATTTTCCTTCACAGAAACAGAAGGATACATGCACAATAAATACTGTACTAAATGAAGAATAAGTGACACTTATTCTTCATTTAGTACAGTACTTATTGTGCATGTATCCACTGGGAACAACTTCAGAGTCACTGGACCTCTGTCGTACCAAAAATCTTTCCATAGAGCTCTGTACCTCACTTTTCTTTAAGATTTTCCCAAAATGGGCCACAACATTGTCATTGTAAAAGTCACCAGCACGGCTTGCAATAGCTGTGTCAGGGTGATTTTCATTCATAAAGGTTTGCACGTCAACCCATTTTGCACAAATTTCCTTAATCTTTGAAGAAGGCAACTTCCTCCATTTCTCTCTCCCCTCCTCTCAAGCAATTTCCTCAGTTGTGTCCTCTTGCTGTTGCAGATGCTCTTGCAGCTCCTCAGTGGTTAGTTCTTCATCGTCATCCTCCACCAACTCTTCCACATCCTCCCCACTAACCTCCAACCCCATGGACTTCCCCAATGCCACAATAGATTCCACAACTGGCATAGGCTTTTCAGGGTTAGCCCCTTACCCTTCAAAATCCCTCTCTTCCACACATTGTGGCCACAATTTCCTCCAAGCAGAGTTCAAGGTCCTGTTAGTCACTCCCTTCCAGGCCTTACCTATAAGGTTTATGCAACTGAGGATACTAAAGTGATCTTTACGAGTCTCTTAGGGTCAATTGAGTGTCTGAGGTCACCTCAAAGCACTTTTGAAACATTGCTTTGATGTACAGTTTTTAAAATTTGAAATGACCTGCTGGTCCATGGGCTGGAGGAGAGGAGTGGTATTAGGAGGCAAGAATTTCACTTTGATAAAACTCAAGTCCCCCAAAATTCGCTCTGGCAACTCTGAAGGATGAGCAGGAGCATTGTCTAATACCAGGAGGTAATTTTCCAGGAGGTAATTTTTCACAGTGGGGCCAAACCCATGATAAAACCAATCATAGAAAATGTCCCTAGTGACCCATGCCTTACTGTTTGCCCTCCACATCACACACAAATTAGCCTTGATGACATTGTTTTTCTTGGACACTCTGGGAGTTTCAGAGTGAAACACGAGTAGAGGCTTCACTTTGCAATCCCCACTAGCATCACAACACAACATTAAAGTAACCCTGTCCTTCATAGGCTTGTGTCCTGGGAGTGCTTTTTCCTTTTGTGTAATGTAGGTCCTGTTTGGCATTTTCTTCCAAAACAGGCCTGTTTCATCACAATTAAACACTTGTTGGGGGTTTTAATCCTTCAGCCTCTATGTACTCCTTGAATTCCTGTGCATATTTTTCAGCTGCTTTTTGGTCCAAACTGGCAGCCTCACCATGCCTTACCACACTGTGTATGCCAATACAATTCCTAAATCTCTCAAACCAACCTTTGCTGGCCTTAAATTCACTCACATCACCACTAGTTGCAGGTCTTTTTTTTAATTAAATCTTCATGCAGCTGCCTTGCCTTTTCACATATGATTGATTGAGAGATGCTGTCTCCTGATATCTGTTTTTTGTTTATCCACACCAATAACAGTCTCTCAACATCTTCGAGTACTTGCGATCTGTGTTTCGAAAACATACTAGCACCTTTCGCAAGAACAGCTTCCTGGATTGCCTTTCTGTTGGCCAAGATAGTAGCAATGGTTGATTGGAGTTTGTTATACAACCTGGCCAGCTCGGAGACACACACTCCAGTTTCATACTTTGTGATTATCTCCTTCTTCATTCTCACCCTTTTTATCACAGGGTTGGCACTAAAAGCTTTCTTTGGGCCCATGGTGGCTTATTTAGCAGTTACAAGCACTAAAAACACTGGAATAATACAAAATGTACCGAATGTATGCGTGGAAGTGACTGCACTGGCTTGTAAACATTGGCACACTAACTGAAGGCAGGGCAGCTAAGGAGCATTCAGGCCACATGGCCGTGTGGACGCATTCGAGACAAATGATGTTAGTCGAGTTTTTCATTGTTAGTCAGGCCAAAATTTTTACGCTAAAATGCTTCGTTAGTCGATTTTATCGTTAGATGATGCCTTCGTTGGTTGAGGGTCCACTGTACCTCCATATCTTAACAAGCCTAGTCCTCTTTAAGTAGAAAAGTGTTGCACAAATTTCTTATGCAATTAAATATCAGTATTGAAGATATGAAATCAATCAGGAGAAACAATTACAAGTTATCCCACACAAAGTAATTTAAATTTTCCACAAAGATATACCAGCTTTGCAAGCTTAAGACCAATCAGAAGAGTTAATCTCCAGTCACTGAACAGACCCCAATATACAACGAAGTTATATACAGTGGACCCGCGACCAGCGATGGCATCGATTAACGATAAATCTGACTAGCAATACATTTTAACGCAAAAATTTTGCCTCAACTAGCGCTTAAAAACCCGACCAGCGCTATTCGTTCCGTACCATACGCATCCACTTTGGCCTGAGCGCGCCTCACTTGTCCCTTGGGTGCCAGTGTTTACAAGCCAACCAGCCACCGCGGTCGCTTCCAAACATACAACAACTGGAACATTTCATATTATCACAGCCTTTGTAGTGATTGCACCTGCAAAATAAGTCACCATGGGCCCCAAGAAAGCTTCTAGTGCCAACCCTACAGCAAAAAGGGTAAGAATTACTCCTAATACCACTCCTCTCCTGCAGCCCATGGACCAGCAGGTTATTTCCAACTTCAAGAAACTGTACACAAAAGCTATGTTTGAATCAAGGTGCTTTGTAGTGACCTCAGAAACTCAACTGGCTCTAAGAGAGTTTTGGAAAGATCATTTTACCATCCTCAATTGTGTAAACATTATAGGTAAGACTTGGGAGGAAGTGACTAAGAGGACATTGAACTCTGCTTGGAAAAAACTGTGGCCAGAATGTGTAGACAAAAGGGATTTTGAAGGGTTTGAGGCTAACCCTGAGAATCCTATTCCAGGTGAGGAATCCATTGTGGCATTGGGGAAGTCCTTGGGGTTGGAGGCTAGTGGGGAGGATGTGGAAGAGTTGGTGGTGGAGGACAGTGAAGAACTAACCACTGATGAGCTGCTAGATCATCTTGAACAGCAAGAGGGCAGACCTGAGGAAACTGCTTCGGAGGAGGGGAGAGAGAAATTGAAGAAGTTGCCTACTTCTAAGATAAAGGAAATGTGTGCAAAGTGGCTTGAAGTGCAAACCTTTTTTGATGAAAATCACCCTGACACAGCTACTGCATGCCGTGTGAAGCGGGAGCTTTAGCCACCAGGCCACCGGGCCACCCCGAAAAATGAAAGTTTCTCTTTTTAAATTTAGTAATGTGTACAGGAGAAAGGGTTACCAGCCCCTTGCTCCTGTCATTTTAGTCGCCTCTTACGACATGTGTGGCTTACGGACGAAGAATTCTGTTCCACTTCCCCATAGAAATAAGAAATAAACAAGAACAAGAACTAGTAAGAAAATAGAAGAAAACCCAGAGGGATGTGTGTATATATGTTTGTACATGTCCAGACAGGCTGCAAGCCTGGCTCCTGGAGTTTAACCCCACCAAGTGTAAAGTAATGAAGATTGGGGAAGGTCAAAGAACACTGCAGACAGAGTACAGGCTAGGGGTGCCAAAAACTGCAAACCTCACTCAAGGAAAAGAATCTTGGGGTGAATATAATAACGCGAACATCTCCTGAGGTGCAGATCAACCAAATAACTATTGCAGCACATGAGCGCCTGGCAAACCTAAGAATAGCATTTCGACGCCTGAGTAAGGAATCATTCAAAACTCCATACACCATCTACATCAGGCCCATATTATTATACGCAGCACCAGTATGGAACCCACACATGATCAAGCACATCAAGAAATTAGAGAAAGTACAAAGGTTTGCAACAAGACTAGTACTGGAGCTAAGGGGTATGTCCTATAAGGAGAGGTGATGATACCAGAGGACAGGGGGGATAGGGAAGGCATGATAATGACATATAAAAGTACTGAGAGGATATTTCAGAGATGGGACACAGCAACAAGGTGTCACAACTGGAAGTTGAAAACTCAGATGAGTCACAGGGATGTTGAAAAGTACTTCTTCAGTCGCAGAGTTGTCAGTAAGTGGAACAGTCTGAAGAGTGATGTAGTGGAGGCAGGATTCATACATTGCTTTAAAAAAAAGATACGATAAAGCTCATGGAGCAGGGAGAGAGTGGACCTAGCAGTGACCTGTGAAGAAGCAGGGCCAGGAGCTGTGGTTAAACCTCTGCAACCACAAATCAGTGAGTACATTAGGATCCGAGATTACTGTCACTTAACCAACCACTTACTACAAGCCCAGACCACCCCACCACATACTACAAACCCAGAGTGGGAGAGAAAACTAGGAGAGCTTTCTGCAGAAATGGAGACGGAGCTGTCTGTGAAATTGGAAAAGAGGTTGGAGGAGGAGAAGAAGAATTGGGAGTCACAAGTCAAAACTGCAGCAGCCAGGATAAGGGTCCTAGAAGATGAGGTAAACAGGCTGAAGTGAGTTACAGGGGTATTGACCAGAGAAGACACAACATATGAAGCTGGGAGGCCGAACAGGAAGGAAGAAGATATAA